GGGGGGGGGGGTCTGTTTTTCCACAAGGAGATTTCTCTGTCAGCTGCCACCAAGGCCCATATTCAGGGGACACACAGAGGGACTGAGGAGTTTTGAGGCCAAGCATGCTTACATGGCCACAACCAGGAGCCAGTGGCAGGAGCTGGACACCGCTCAGAAGCATTTCCCAAGTCCTGCCTACACGGCGCCGCTCGCTCAGACGCATGCACGTGTACATCCGAAGGGAGCACCACCCCCATTACCGATCCCCCCCATCACCCCAGAATCCGGGTTGCCAAAAGGCAGCAACAAAAACCAAAGGACCTCTGTGCATTTAGGTCAGGCACCGTTTTGCAAAGACGCCTTTCCGAAGAGCTGCATGCGGCTCCACAGCAAAGTCCAGACCCCGAGCTGAGCTTACAAGTCATGTCCAAATGCTTTGCTGCCCTCAACGTCCCCCACCCTTCCGACATAGTTCGCTAGTCCCCTTTGGATGTAGATGCAAAAGCCATAATACTGTACGCAGCCTTTTTCTATAGTTATTAGTTATTTGACAATTGGCTTTTAACTCTTGATAGAAACCTGTGCACAGAGATATATGCACACATACATACATACATGCACATATACATACACATATGTGTGTGTGTGTGTGTGTGTGTATGTATGTGTGTGTGTATACACACACAGACACACACATATACATACACACAAACGTCTCTCTCTCTAAATATATATATATCTTCACAGAAAGCAAAGAAAACTACATTGAGAAGAGGAAAATTTAAAGAAATATATTTTTTTAAACATGTAAAAGGAAATGACATAGCCAAATGGGGAAAAATCATCACAGCAACAGCAGGACCATGCAGTACGTTTTCCTTTACTTTTAAATTTCTGCTTTCTTTGGGGGTTTAGGCTTCTAGGTGCTAAGGGAAGCCTTAGGATGCAGGCCAGGTCATCTCTGAATGTATTTTGTAAAGAGTAGTGACATGTTTTTAATTCTTTCTTTAGCAAATCATTTGCGGGGGGGGGGGGGGGGTTCCCTAGGAGACCAGATGAACTCTGTCCTGCTAGAGGAAGTGATCTGATTTCCCTTTCTTTAATTTGTGGCAGTTCCCAGGCTGCTTACCTCTGTCAAAACAATCCTCAGGTTAATGCCATCTATTAAATGAGAGTTTTGTTGATCTTCTGCCATGTGCTTGCATGTGTTATGGGGTGCGGCACACACTCATGCTGGCAAAGGACATCTCCGAACCACATACTGTGCGGCGCTCACATTAGGTTACCTATGCGAAGCCCAAAAAAGCACTTTGCAAAGCAAAAGGCTGGCCGCGGTCTCTGAAGCAAAGAGCCAGCTCTCTAATCGCAGGTGCCATAAAAGCAAACAGGAAGGGATGCAGAGACAGTGGAAAGGAAGAAGCAAGAAGGGCTGGAGGAAGGAGCCAGGGACAAGCTCTGCAGACTAGGCATGGCATGGTGGCTTGGTTACCTTCTGGCTTCTTCCAGCTGATGCCAGAGAGATTGGCACTAGAGAGATTGCACTGACACCATTAATGATAGAAAAGGCTTTGTAGCAACCGGGAAAGGGGACACCTGTGAGATCATCCAGCATATACAATGAGCACCGTCCTTCTCCCCCCGTCCAGCCACTGTCCATTCCCGGGGAACAGGAGCACTCGACACATCCAAATGACAACGACTGGCTCTTCGTGACCCACAACCGGGCATCAGCAGCCTTGGAGAATCCCACGTGCGTGGAGCTGCACCCAAGACTTGCGGTGAACATCTCTGCTCTCCAGTCAATCAACTGTGCCAGGACATTCACCGGATCCTCAACCCTCTCCGTTCTCCAGGGGGCTGGGCGCATCCCAAGGCCAGTCTCGTCCCTGCACTGCTTTGGCCCCTTACGCTCCTGAGCGCAGGTTGGCGACAAAACCCGAATTCGGGCGACGGTTGCAGGGCGTCAGCCAAGGTTCAACACATGAGCAGAATGAGCATCTAATGCTTACGGAGGGTGTCATTAATGGATAGAGCCGATTAAGAGAAACCGCTCTTTGTTTTCCTGCCAGAACAAGCTGGCTTTTCCACTGGGCATAACGACGCGCCCGGTTTGTGCTCGCTGTGCGTGCCGAGGACGAGGAAGCCTAAAGGGCACAGGCTTTGAAGTCAGATCAGGACCTCCAGGGAAGGGCTGCGTAACATGAGGGTGGTCACAAAGGGCCGGTCTGTCCAACGTACACACACCAGCCATTCAAAGCCTCGGCCCCCCACCGCAAGGGGACTATACAGAGCCGCCCTGTAATCAGATCCTTTCCGCAGCTGCTCTTGGAAACACAGAAACCCCCCAGACCCAAACACGCGGGGCCCGACAGACAAAGCCCCAGAGCAAGGCTCCTACTGGCGCCGCCTGCACAAGCCAGCCGTTCCCCTCCACAATCAGACTCCGCGGTGCCTCGAGCGGAGCTAAGCCAATTACCCGCCCAATCATCTAATTACAGAGCAGCCAGAAAGTAAATACAGGTTAATGCTTCAAAAAGGCCCTGCTGCGACTCGCGGGTCAGCGCCGGGCCCTGTTTGGTCACCAGGGCCGGGCCCGTGTCTGCCCGCACCGGCGATGTGTACGTGTGCCGCTCACCCGTGCCAAGGGGACGCGGATCACGGGCCGGCAGCCGCCCTCCTCACTGCGTGCATGGGGGTTTGCCACGGCACGGTGCGAAGGACGCAGGGGCTTTGTGCCTCTCAAAGGGCTGCTCTGTTGGGAGGCAAAGCCCTTGCCAACCTGCGTGTGCCGTGGGATGGAGTTCAGGTCGGGAGGGGAGAGGGCCGAGATGGGGGCCTTCCAGTGTCCCCATTTTTCAATGAGGTTTGAGTGGTAAATCCCATCCCTACTGCTCTTGAGGCCTCTCTCCTGAGCTCCTCAAACCCATCTTTCTCACCCCTGGGCTATGGGATGAGACTCCGGAGAGCTACGTCCATTCACAGCAATCCTTCAAAGCTGGCATGCCGCCTCCTGCTTTTTCTTAGGAGCTGGCCAGGAGTCTTCTTGGGGCCAACCTCTTCCCAGGACAAATGCTTTCCATAAAAAGTACGTGATGAATAGGATTCCCAGCTACACGCTGCAGATAATAGCAATGCTTCGCCAACCCGAAGTAGCTGCTTCACGATATTTTTATTATCTTGGGTGTATCCTGCACAAAAGGTTTATTCCACTGCACTCCTGTAAGCTTAAAGGCAACTGATTTGCTAGCAACATTATATTTCCCTTCACTATTACAATTTTTTCTGCCACGGAAAGGGGTAGGCTTGGTGGAACTCATTCTTCCTTTTTGCCTATCACCTTCTCCCTCCTAGGTCTTTTTAATCATTATTTTTAGCCATGCAATTGTCACAAAAACTATAAACGCCATGTGGCTTATTCTGAAAAGTGTCGTCTGGAAAGGGATACA